TTTTTTTTTTTTTTTGGAGTTTTAAATTAAAACTAAGAATTGAATGTTAGTTGCTATTAATCTCTGCGAAATCTGTTGCTTATATTTTATTGTTTTTTTTTCTAAATTCATTGCTTTGCCATTTCTATTCTTCTCTGGAGGTACAGCTTTTCAAGCAGATTTTCAGTTAATTTCAAGCTGATTTTGAGTTGGAGTAAATCCGAATAACTTAATATGAGCCTGTTAATTTTGATTTGGAGTTCGATCAATCCAATTTCATGCTGAAATGTATCCAAATAAATATAATTATTTCCCATATCATCTAACCTAGACTCTATCTGACAAACGCTCCGAGGACAATTCTGTTCATTTACTTTGAATTATATCTATCAATGTAAATTAAAAATATATCAATTAATAAATAAACATCTAAATATATAAAAAAAATAAAAATAAAAATTAAATATATCATGTACAATTTTACTTTAAATTATGTTGGTAATTACAAACTCATATTATTTAAAAAAAATTAAAGAACTCCTAAATATGACAAATAAAATACATTAAATTAATTATATATAAAAATGAATAAGATAGATTTAATTTATTTCTTAGAATTTTGTTCTACTTAGTTGGAGGAGCTAGTTGACCTAATATGATATAAAGATTTATGTTAGCATCGATGTGTTGTGTCTAATAAATTATTGTAGATTTCAGGTGGATGTTTGTTTAAAAGGATAAATTTAAATTGTTCTTAATTAACAGATGATTTTAATCAATTGGGAAACATACGAGCATGGATTTGAAATTCAAATTCAAATTCAAATTCAAATTCAAAATTATTAAGTGGGAGCATAGGGTATTTTGGGTAAAATATCTTTCAAATTCAAATTCAAGATCGTCCAATATCTTAATTCCATAAATTTTTATTTTAACTGAGCATCTATATAGTATACGCCTAATGAAGTTGAAATTGATCATGTCCAAGTCCAAATAAGCCTAAATCAGGCACTTGAAGTGCTATCAAAGGCTTGAGTACATAAGTGGAATGTTAACTTATAACTAAATCGAGTGTGTCGATGCCAAAAATTCAATGAGCTTAAGATCATTTAAGTTGTAAAGACACTTAAAAGTTACAAAAATAACTCATGATAAATGCATCTAACAAAATTTACTAAAAAGCCCATTTCAAAAATTATATATAGATTACTATGTCATGTGGTAACTGTCATCATATTAAAGATGTTAAAATTGATCCGACATGCCAACACGCTGTGCTACTGTGCTGCACCATAGAGTAGCTTAAATTCTACTAGTAAAAATTGATCAACATGTCAACAAGATTTGCTCGGATCTGATTAGCAAGTCAAGCTCTAATCCGGATGTTAATTTCCACCGATTTACTATTCCAGATTGTCATTTTCGGAAGCCACCGAATCCGACAGAATTAACACCCCTACTTTCAGAAAATATTTGCGTACATAAGATGTACGCAGCTCTGCGTACATCAGGGGTTATTTAGGGGTACAATGAGGTTATATCTGGGTTATACCCCCTTATAACTTTCGGTATAACCCAAATATAACTTCCCTGTATCCCAAAATAACCTCTGATGTACGCACTCGCTACTTTCTACCACGTACAACCTAAGTTGTTGCTCAACGCCAATGTCCAACCACCTTCATGCAAGTGTATCCCTCCTCCTTCATTCACTGCACCCGCCCCACGGTACCTTTCCCTTCCCGATTGATGCAACATTCCGCGTTTATTTGCTCCTCGCCATCTTTCCCTTCCAGTTCTCATAACTCTTCAAACCCTAACCCCTAGTCCCTCATAACATGATGGAAATCAAGTTTTCTTCCTCCCCCCACTTCACTCCAAGATTCCCTATCAGGTTCAGGTCCGATCGACCGACCCCTCCGGTGCTCCGGAATCTCTACCCAAGCATAATCTCCAACAAAACCTCGGACTCATCAACCCCCTTTCTTCCGCTTTGCATCCGAACGATCCCTGATTGGGCCGATGCCATCCAGGAGCGCGGTGAGCGGAAGCGGCGGCCCCTCTACACCCCCGAGGACTGGCGTGCCCATCGGAGCTCACTCCGTCACATAAGGCACCTGCTCTCTAGCTTATCTTCTCGCGTCATCCTCTCCCTCGTCCCGCCCGTCTCTGTCTTCACCTCCTTTGCCGCGGTTTTGACGGTTTACAACTCCGCGGTGGCCCTTCGGTGGCTGCCGGAATTCTTCCCGCTACTGCATGCGTCGTCGCTGCCCTATCAGCTCACGGCGTCTGCGTTGGCGTTGCTTTTGGTATTCAGAACGGAGGCGTCGTACTCCAGGTTTGTGGAGGGCAGGAAGGTGTGGATGAGCATTATCGCTGATTCCAGCGAGATGGCGGGGATTGTGATATCTAGTATGGCTAGGGCTAGAAGTGGCGCAGAGGAAGTGGGGATTAAGAGGGCACTCTTGAATTACATAATGGCATTTCCAGTTGCTCTTAAGGTCGGTATATTTCGGACTACCCTTTCACTCTTGCTAATTATTTCGCAATTTATTCTACACTGGATTGCTTCTGCTTCATAAGTTTCCTTAATTTATTTTCTTTTGGATTCGAGTTTCATCATACATTATCATCATGACATATGAATTGGGATTTGCTTTATGAATCCTCCATAAATCACTGTTGAATGGCACATAATTTGTTAATTTGGTCCTGTTGATTACTTCTGAGTTTGATTTCTGAGAAACTTGTTCTAAAGCTTATGATGATATACATTTTCAAAATTATTCAGCAATAGCATTCATTTTATTTCCAAAACAAATTTTCATTTATATTTTTAGAACAAATGGAATCATATAAATAATTTTAGTTACGCTTTTTCTGGGGCAAATCCCTCAGAGCAGGAAGAGAAGATAAGAGGGAAGAACTAATAAGTCTTGTTTTAGTTCAAGCTTCAAAATTATAGAAAAGGTATTCCCTATCCTAACCAGTAGAATACTCATACTTCCACTATCAAGTACAAACTAAATGAAAAAAGCATGATTAGCTAAGAAAACTAAATAGAGCTTAAATACAATTAAGCCACTATTAAGGACTACTAATAACTACTAAATACTAAATTTAAAATTTAGGAAAGCAAATGCATTAGATCCATTTCTCTGCAACGGAGACTAGCTGAGCTAGATGATTGGATCGAGAAGAGATTACCTTCGACCGTGAGAGTTGTGGGGAAGACAAAAATGAATATCTTAATCCGTTCCACAGGGTAAGTCACAACGACGAAGAGTATCGTCGTTTTGGTATCCAACATCAAAAGAGTCCTAAAGAAGAGGCTTCTTATGAGGGTCAACAAGATTTTGGCATCAAGATGGGCCTTCAAAAATTTGAAGAAGGCATTGATCCCGAGGAATTTATCAATTGGCTGAGATCCGTTGAACAGATTTTCGAATATAAAGATGTACCAAAAGACAAACAGGTCAAGCTGGCTGCTATTAAGCTGAAGAAGAGCGCTTCTTTATGGTGGGAAAATGTGCAGAGGCAGAGGAAGAGGGAAGGTAGTTAAAAGATCACTTGACTCCCACCTCACTATCGCCAATATATGTTTCTAAATCTCCATAACTATTGAAGTTAATGCAGAAAAAAGTACCTCCCACCTCATTATTGCCAATATATGTTTCTAAATCTCCATAACTTGCAACATAGAGATCTTTTAGTTGAGGAGATTACAACTCAATTTGACTACTTACAACTGAAATGTGAACTGACGGAGTCAGAGGAACACATATGATAGCCAGATTTCTTGGGGGTCTGAAACCTGCGATCAGCAATGTGATACAGTTACAACCACATTGGACGCTAGGGGTTGTCTAGACATTAGCTTTGAAGGTGGAAAGACAACAAAAGCAGAGTCGACAACAATCATCTTTCAAGCAAGCAACAACTTTCAAACAGACTGTTACCTACAATTACGACAACTGACAGGGATCTCTCAGGAGACACAGGCAAGCCCAAACAGAGAAATGACACTACAGATCATAATGTGAAGAAATAGGAGAAGGTCAACACTTCTAGCACGGTGCTGGCCAGAAAGTGCTACCGATGCCATGTCTACGACCACATTGCCTTTAGTTGCCCCACAAACAGGACAGTCACACTCATAGATTAAGGCACGTAGAAGAAATCGACAATGAAGAGAAAGCTGAGGAACAAGGTGGGGACTATCAACTTCCCCCAGATGAAGGATAGGTGCTCATGATTCGACGAATCCTACAAACTGAGGACATGAGGGATTCACAGTGGTTTCGTCATAATATGTTCTACACCTATTTCCCAGTAAACGAAAATGTATGCAGTCTCATCATCGATGATGGAAGCAACAAGAACGTGGCGTCGACACAGATGGTAAAGAAATTAGGATTCGCAACTCAGAGACATTCCCAGTCATATTCACTAACGTGACTGAAGAAGAAGAATCAGGGCAGCATTGATGTCATATTCACTGACGTGACTGAAGAAGAAGAATCAGGGCAGCATTGATCGAAGTTGCTTGGTAGAATTTTCGATCGGATGCCAGCTGCAAGACCAGATGCGATGTGACATCGTTCCTATGGATGTCTGCCACCTTTTGTTGGGATGAACTTGGCAATATGAACGAAGGACTCAACACGACGGATATAAAAACACGTATTCTTTCACCAAGAAAGGAAAACACATCACCCTCCTTCATTTGACAGAGTTTGAGATCATAAGATCCCTTTTTAAGCAGAACAGTCTCAGTAGAACCAGTTTTAATGATGACATTAGACGAGAGCACTCAGACACCCGCCCTAATACCGAACAAATATAGCTGAGATTATGTTAGGACAACGCTGTACCAACAACACCACCACCATGCGAGAAGGTTCAAATTGCACGCTCGTTTGAACTGATCATGCAGTACTTTTGGAAGGTTCATCAGTATAGGCATGGTCAACAACTCCAGGAGGACAGATCGATATAGACATCAATTCGCAAGCTGGGGAAGAACCTCAAATACCTCGAGAGATAGTGCAGTCACTAGTAGGATCCAAGGTGGCTGACAATGAAACAGAAGCTCGACCAATGAAGTCGAAGCTCCATCAACCTAAAGAGATTGACGCGTGCGCTTGGATTAGAGCCTGAAATCAGGCGCAAAACAGTGCCTCGGACGGGGGGGAGGGGGGGGCTTCAAAATAGCAGGGTCTAACCCTCGTGAAACCGTGCGAAGCAAAGTAGGGATCTGCGGCTTCATGAAGGCGGGAGAACCCACAATAGGGGGGAAATTGCGAATTCTCTTGATTCATCTAGGCTATTCGCACCAGATTTTTTCTAGAAAGTGATTTATGGATTCTTCTTGCCTTCTCACCTATCCCTTTTGTGTAGAAGTTTCTCGTGAGACTATAAATTGCCATTCTTGTGGATGTGAGTCAAATTAAAGTTGTGCTTGAGTTTAGCTTTAGATCTCCTATGTGAAAACTCTTTTTCCTTTGTGGGTTGTATCCGAAGAGGTGGTGATACTCCCGCTGTATCTCCTCATCGGTGGTGATTATATCTTCCTCTCTTATCCTCCCCAACCCATCTCTTTCACTGCCTTTAGTCGCCTACCACACAATCGCTGCCGACCACCCACTATACTTCCCACTTGCTGTCCCTTCAGTTCCACACATTCCCTTTGCTACCACCCGTCTCCTGTGGTTGACGTCACCCCATCTCTTTCACTGCCTGTAGTCGCCTACCACACAATCGCTGCCTACCACACAATCGCTGCCGACCACCCACTATACTTCCCACTTGCTGTCCCTTCAGTTCCACACATTCCCTTTGCTACCACCCGTCTCCTGTGGTTGACGTCACCCCTTCCAATAATCCCCATCTCTTTGGCCGACCTCCATCACCCATTAAGATACATTTAGAAGTGTTATTGGTGTCGTTTTATGTTTTGTGTTGTTATTTCCGTTCAAGTTATGATGTAATCTTATTATAATGTTAATGAAAGATTGTTCTTGGTGTTTCTACTGTTTCCCCTACTAGTTCTAATATCATTTGATATTAAAGCTTATCCAACTCTTGTCATATACTAGGGTTCCCCGACATCCACCCTTGCCCAATCCACCCCCATCAATTCTCAACTCTATTCATGCCACTGCGGAGAGATGCGTCAGGCTCTACTTGGGAAGAGATCCAACGTGAAATTTGTCATCTGAAACAGAGACTAGCCAAGCTAGATGACGAGAACCAGAAAAAGATTACTTTCGATTGTGATCAAGAGATTTGTGAGAAAGATAAAAATGAAGATCTTAATCTGTTCCACAGGGAAGGTCACAACGATGAAAAATATCGGCCGCACCGTTTTGATATCCAATATGAAAGTAGGCTGCGAGAAGAGGCTTCTTATGGAGGTCAATTGGATATTGACATCAAGATGAACCATCCATAATTTGAAGGAGACATGGATCCCAATGAGTTTATCGACTGACTGCAATATGTTGAACGTATTTTCAAATATAAAGATATACCAGAAGACAAACAGGTCTAATTAGCTATTATTAAGCTGAAGAAGAGCACTTCCCTATGACGGGGAAATGTGTAGTAAAAGAGGGAGAGGGAAGACAGTGAAAAGATTACTAGGTGGAAAAGGATGAAGATGGTAATGCAGAGAAAGTACCTCTCACCCCTCTATCTCCAGATATATTTCTGAAGTTCCATAACTTACAACAAATAGATCTTTCATTTGAAGAGTTCGCAAGCCAATTCAACCACTTGCAACTGATATGTAAATTGACGAAGCCAGAGGAACATATGATAGTCGGATATCGCGGGGGCCTGAAACCCGCTATCGCAATGTGTCACAATTATAGCCATATTGGACGTTAGGGGATGTCTAGACATTAACCTTGAAGGTGGAAAGACAACAAAAACAAATTTAGCAACAATCATCTTCCAAGCAACAATATTCAGGCAGGCTGTCACCTAAAATTACTACAGCAGGCAGGGATGCCTTAGGAGAGACGGACAAGCCTGGATAACAGAATGACACTACGTATCATAGCCTAATGAAACAGGAGAAGGGCAACTCCTCCCTCACGGTGCCATCTAGAAAGCGCTACTGATGTCACAACCATGACTACATTGCCTCTAGCCGTCCCACGAGCAGGGTAGTCACACTCATAGATCAAGACACTGTAGAAGAAATTAGTGATGAAGAGAAAACTGAGGAACAACTGAGGAACAGAGTGAGGTGTATCAGCTTCCCCCAGATGAAGGAGGACACTTGTGATTCGACGAATCATACAAACCTAGGACACGAGAGATTAGCTTTTCCATCACCAAAATATATTCTACACCCGTTGCAAAATAAATGGAAAGGTATGTAGTCTCATCATTGACAATGGAAGTAGCAAGAATGTGGCGTCGACATAGATGGTAAAGAAATTAGGACTCACAACTCAGAAACATTCCCAACCATATTCGCTGGCGTGACTAAAGAAAGAGAATCAGATCAGCATTAACCGAAGATGCTTGGTAAAATCTTTGATTGAAAGCCAGCGACAAGACTAGCTGTGGTCTCTTTGGATGCCTGTTACTTTTTGTTTGGACGACCTTGGAAATATGACTAAAGGGCTTATCACAACGGATATAAAAACACATATTCTTTCACCAAGGATGGGAAGCACATCACCCTCCTTCCTTCGACAGAGTCCGAGGTCGCATGATCCCTTTTAGGAAGAACAAAGTCAGTAGACTAGTTTTAGTAATGACACCAGGCAAGAGGACCGAGACACCCGCCCTCAATACTAGACAAATACATCCGAGATTATGCCAGGACAATGCCGTTCTGACAACACCACAGCCGTGCGAGAAGGGCCATATTGTTCTCACTACACATTCGTTTGAATCGATCATGAGGTACTTTTCGAAGGTTCATCATATAGGCGTGGTCTACAACCCCAGGAGTACAGATCGATATGGATATTTACTAGCAAGCTGGGGAAGAACCTCAAATACCTCAGGTGATAGTGCAGTTACCAATGGAATCTAGGATGGCTAAAAACGATATGGAAGCTTCAACTTCCCCAGGAGACTGATGCTGACATTTGGATTAGCGCTTAAAGTCAGGCATAGAATAGCACCCCAGAGGAGGGTGTTTCGAAACGACGGGGTTGAAGCCCTACAAAACCGTGCTAAGCGGAGCAGGGACCCGCGACTTTGTAAAGGTGGAAGAACCGCGACAGGGAGGGAAATTGGGAATTCTCGCATCCAGCTAGGATATTCGCACCAAATTTTTTTTGGAAAGTGATTTTTGGATTCTTCTTAGCTTCCCACCTATCCCTTTTATGTATAAGTTTCTCCTGAGCCTATAAATTGCTGTCCTTGTGTATTGAGAGTCAGATTAGATCTGTGTTCGAGTTTAGAAATTTCCCCTTTGTAGGCTGTATCCGAGGAGATGGTGGTGCTCCAGTTGTATTCCGTCTGCGGTGGTGATTGTATCTTTCCCTTTTATCATTCCCAATCTCTCTTTCACTCCCCTTAGTCGACTACTACTTCAAGCTTCTCCTAACCATTATTCGATCATAGCCAATCACTCACAACCCTTCCCACTTGTTGTCCCTTCAGTTCCACACATTCCTTTCGATACCACCCCCCTCCTGTGGCTGCCATCACCCATTCTAATCATCCTCATTCCTTAGTCGACCTCCACCACCCATTAGCATATATTGTTGGCGTCGTTTCATATTTTATGATGTTATTTCCGTTTAAATCATGATGTAATCTTATTTTAATGTTAATGAAAGATTGTTCTTGGTGTTTCCCCTACTAGTTCCAACATCATAACTACTTTTTATTAGAGGATATACTTGCCCTTCTTCGTAAGGGGAGTTAATTCTTGTTGTTTGTAGTATTTTTATAATTATTTCGTAAGATTGCCAATCATACCTTAGTTCTTCAATTATAATTGTTATGTTGCATTTTTATATGCTTCTATTATCGCTTATAATGAAGTAACCAACTGCCTAAGTTTATTGATGCAGAATTCCTACATATTTGAGTAATCCTGTAATTAAAATGATTTCATTTTCTTACACTTTAATTTTATAAAATTGCATGAGAATTCATGTCTTATCACAAGCCCGTGTAAAGTAGACACTTCTTACATATTACACATGAGAAACTTTTGGATATACTTGTGTGTGATAGTGTGTACATTAGTGGAACCATTTTGGATATTGGCTAGTTGGGCCGACGCACCCACAGAGTAACGGTTCTATAGGAAATTGTCTGGCATCCTTAGGTTGTTATGTGACATTCTCAATTTCAGGGTGTCTATTAAAACCGACTACATAAATATAAATAAAAAAATCAGCTTGTGGTTAGTTATGTTCGATTTCAAGCTAGCTTGAATTGATATTGAATCTAGCTCAATCTGACTCTAACTCAGAACGTGCTGACTCAAATTTGAATTATTTGAATCTGTTCTAGCTCGAAATCTGCTTGGCCCGGCTCGTAATGAGCTTGATCTGGCTCGAAATTGAAACAAAATGGCTGAAATTGAGTTATTTGGACTGGTTCCGGCTCAAAATAGGCTCGTGGTTCATTATATTTGATTTTATTTAGCATCATATATAATTTTTATAAACAAAAAAAAATAATTTGATTCGGTCTCAAGCCAGTTCGAGTCGATTGGTGTATGGATCGAAGTCGGCTCGAAAAAAATTGGATCCAAAGTTTTGGCTCATAGTATGGTTTGTTTATTTTGATCCCACCTTGATTTGAGATAAAATTCGAATCAATTTTCGAGCAATTAACAATCTTCGAGCTAAATTCAAAGCTCTAGATACCACTGGTGCAACGTCCAAATCATGGAAACAGGAAGGGAATGTAAGACGGAAGAACCAGTAATTTTTTTTAGTTAAAGCTTTGAAATCACAGAAAAAATTTTCCCCTATCCTAACCAGTGGAATACTTAAATTTTCATTACCAAGTAGAGACAAAATGAAAACATAATTAGCTAAGAAAACTAAGTAGTGCTTAAATATAATTAAGCCACTATTAAGGTCTATTAATAACTGCTAAATACTAAACGTAAAACTGAGGAAAGCAACTGCATAATATTCCCAATGAGATTTATTGTAGATTGCACATGTTTTATTTTTAATTTGATAGATAGTGTCACTAAAATTCCTTGGATTCAGATATGATAATTTTCAATTCTATTTATTGCATGGTAAATGATCATCTCTATAAATTTCAAAATAACTTATTTCCTTTTTAAATCTTTTCTACTTTACTAAAATTTAAATGTAAGAAAAAAAATAAAAAATATGTTAGAAAGGTAAATGCCTTGCCATCTCAAAATAAACGGAAACAAGAAAATATAGATATTACGGATTGCTGGACTGAGTGTTATTTTGCATTTGCACTCCTACAATTAAGTTCGGCCTATTTTCAGTAATTTATTACTTGAGGGAATTAAAGAAATATGTATGCTGCAGTGCCATGTCCTTGGTAGCTCAGATATCAAAGTAGACCTGCAGAATTTGCTAGAAGAGGATGATCTCGCTGTTATTTGTCATTCAAAGCACCAGCCTCGTTGTGTTATTGAGTTTATCACACAAAGCCTTCAAATGGTTTCTATGGAGGAAGCTAAACGAACTGCCTTGGTAAAATTCTTATCCTAAGATACTCTTATTCAGTCAATGAGAAAGCTGAAAGAAACTTAACAGATAGCTGAAGTAATTCCAGTAACTTTTTGTGCTTTTATTTGTCTTCGGATTGCTAGTTGATAAGTTCACTTTTAAATTTTAATTCATTTTATTCTATGTTGTAATTGTTAGAATCATTTGTTGTACATGTTTTGTAATTTACTTATCTAGAAGGATTATTTACGAGCGCACATATTTGTAAAGCCACATTCAACTGCATAGTATGTAGATTCTTCAAGCTTGAAAAGCATGAATTCGAGTAAGAATGAAGAAATCCTGTTCTATTTGTTAGTTTTGTCAATCATGCAATCCATGCAAGATGTACACGAGAAACCTCGTCAATGTGGCACTTTGTTTATTAACAGTCCATAACTCTGAAAGTAAAAAAAAATATTTTTAGAAATCAGTTTGTTGAAGATTCTTCAAATACGTCATTTGAACTCTCAAATGTCCAAAACTTCTCATATGAATTGCTACTATATGTTAATATTGGTTCTTGTGTGCAGGGTTAATTATTGTGTAGCAAATACAGCCAAATTCTTATTATAATGAAATGTGATAGTATCCCTTTGCTTTTCACTAATCTTTATTCCACATTTTCTTCCGCCAATATTCTTCTTTTAATGTTACAGGTACTCATATATATTTAGCTCTGGTGGTGGGCAATTGCTTTCATTTTCATAATTTTCATTGTTGTGAAAATATCTGGAGTCAAAATAAAGTAATTTGTCCACACACTTAACATATCTCTAACATTTATTACTATATTCCAAAAGCATAGTCTGAAAAATACTTTTGCATTCTTTTCTTTTCATACCTTAGACCAAAATTTTACTGTCTTGAATTCATCTGGTGAAATTTAGAAGTTTAATCTTTCTTTATTTTGCAACAAGTGAAAGAATTGTTTTTGATACATTATATTGGGCCTTGCTGAGATTAGAATGCTCAGGTGGATGAGTGGCTTGACAATTAGAGACAAAATGCAAAATGAATATATACATGATAGGGTTAGTGTAGCTCCAGTGGCAAACAAGATTAGAGATAATTGTCTTATAATTTTTTGGTCACATTAAACTTTGACCATCTGATGATCCGGTTAGGAGAGTAGATGTGTTAGATTCAATTTATGTTAAGAAAGGTAGAGGTGGACCTAAAAGGACTTGGGCATATTGTATAGAAAATGTTCTCATTCTATTAGAATTAAATGAAAATATGACACTCAATAGGATGCTATGGAGAAAAAGGATTCACCTAGCCAACCGTACTTAGTGGGATAAAGGCTTATGGTGGTTGTTGTTATAGTATATTGAGCCTTGCTGCATGCGTAGTATAATGAACAACCAAAAAACTTATGTGGAACGAAGCAATAATATTTTCAGTTAGTTTTTTTTCAGAGCCTTTCATTCTCATTCAAAGGTTTTTGACATCAATTAGGACTTTCTATTCTAAATTTCTCAGGAGTTGTTTTTATAGTATTTCCTTCACATAGTGAACAACCAAAAAATTTCTGTGGAATGAAGCATTAATATTTCCAGTTAGTTGTTTTCAGAGCTTTTCATTCACGGTCAATTATATTTAGCTTTAGTTACAACTTTTATCCTAAATTTCTGCAGAATTTTTTTGATAGTAGTTTCTTCACAACCGGAAACTTCTTCTTTTACTTTGACCAAATTCAATTCACACAATCTGATGGAGCACTGTAATCTTTCATTTTTTGTACATTTTGATCATCTTTATCGGTATATCTTGAGACTTTTTTGTTCTTGGCCTATTGACATATTATCAAACGACATAAATAGTAGTAAGAATACCTGTCACACCTTGCCTTTTGATAATGAAAGATTCATATGCTTTTTTGATCTGTCTTGTTAGTAGGCACTATTTTCACTATTCATGCTTATAGAATTTACTTCAATGCATATAAATCTTTTTCTAATATTGCAAGCTTTCTTTGTTGGTCTATGGACTATTGGGTTTGGTCTTTTTCAGTAGAAATTATGTTGATATCGATGTGGTGATTGTTGACCTATAAATGTCCTCTTAGGCTTCCGGGTTGAAAAAAACTATGACTATTAGTACACTAAAACTGGGTTGAAAAAAACTATGACTATTAGTACACTAAGCCGGAAGCCTAAGAGCATCTTGGGTCCGTTGACTATTAGTGCACTAATTCTGGGTTGAAAAAAACTATAAATGTCCTCTTAGGCCTTCGTTTAAGTAGAACTAAAACTGAATACATGAAATGTAATTTTAGTAGTAATAGCTCTAGTGACAGAAGTGACTTTGGGTGATCAAATTATTAAAAAGTGTGAACGATTTAGATATCTTGGGTCCGTTGTTCAAAGCGATGGTGATATAGATGGGGATGTTAATAGTAGAATTCAAGTTGGTTGGTTGAAGTGGAGGAATGCTTCGGGCCTTTTGTGTGATACAAAAGTACCGCTTAGACTGAAAGGAAAATTTTATAAGACGGTGGTGAGACCTGCAATGCTCTATGGCGTTGAATGTTGGCCTTTAAAAGAGAAGCATAATAATAAGTTAAGTGTTGCTGAGATGAGAATGATTAGGTGGATGAGTAGCCGACCCCACGTAGTGGGATTAAGGCTTTGTTGTTGTTGTTGTTGTTGTATCTTGTACAAGTTTAAATTACTTTGGATTGTAAAGCTCCATCCAGTTCATAAAAAATTTCAGTGCAAAAAGATGCATCATAAAGAACTTAAATTGAACTTAAAAACTTAGGAAGTTAATTAGAAATGGACTCTAGAATCTTCTTTAATTTCAATCTTCTTTAAGAATGTTTGAATCCTAGTCCAAATGCGCCTAAACAAGACCAACAAAGTAAACCTTATCATGTGGGTCCCAAATTTTTTCTACCTCCTCATTTTTCTCTCTTGTGCTTGAAAGTCATGCCTTTCATTGGAGTGCTTTGCTTCCTCACATTCAGTTTGATTATTAGAGTGAATAATCTAGTGATGGAAGTAATGTCGGGGGCGTGGTTTATGATTAGGAAGAGTAGTTTCTGCTAGGAGGAATCCTGAGAGGTAGTATATGCTGTTGGGAAGAACTTATAATGTGTAACAAGCATGAATAAAGTTGAAATCTCATGACAAATAACAGGGACTCGAATAAGTTATATAAATGAATAAATCACTTTTATAAGCAGCATGGAAATAAATATGGATCTTGAATTCTAAAGAACCTGTAAATAATTGAGCTAACGTCCAGAAGTATGCCATTTGTATTCAATGACATATTGTAGATGGCTATCACTTTGTACGAACTTCCTCCTTGTAGGGGGAGATATGCGAAGGAAAACATGGGACCATTCTGGTATGTGTGTGGTGCCTATGCATTCTATGCTCATTCGTATTCATAATTATAATTGCTTGCAGTTAAATTTTATATTTTACATTTATATTACCTAAATCTTTCATATCACATAAAAATATCACCATTTTAATTTTTGAGAAGTGAAATGCACCTTTCCATAGATAGGTAAGGTGGCATGGTTGTAAAAATTAAAGTTCAGGTTTTAGATATGTAAATACTTGGGAATTGAGTGGTATGTATGCAGATCTTCCTTGATATTATTTCGGCTGCGTAGCTTGTTTAGTTTCCTTTGCCTGACAATTGTAACTGAGAACTTCTTAAATATTCATCTCTTTCATAGTGGAACTCTTGGCAGACTCCAGGGAGTTGGTAGAGATGTTTCATCTCTAAATCCAGTTTGCGGCATCAAGTAACTAATGCATATAAATTGCTTTTGTGAACAGGAGTCTAAAATATCTTCTTTTTATAATGGCATCAGTGTTTGTGAGCAAATTATTGGCATTCCAATCCCCTTATCTTACACTCGTTTGACGTCGAGGTTTCTAGTATTTTGGCATTTCTCTCTTCCAATTGTACTTTGGGATGACTGCAATTGGATTGTAATTCCAGCTACCTTCATTAGTGCAGCCTCCTTGTTTTGCATTGAGGAAGTAAGTTTTTCTCTTTGTTCTTTTTCATATTTTCTCCAGCTGTCTTTTCTTCTTGTACCTGTAAAGTATTTACACCTTGATATATTAAATGCTTTTTTAACCCGGTTAAATTACCGCACTTCAAATTTTTCTTTTTACCGAATCTTTAGAATTAACTCTGTCAGGAGAATTTTATGTAGAGGTTTTAACTCTTAAGAATTCTTGTTCTCTGTGATTTGTGGCACCGTTTATAGTTTACCAGCCTTAGGGTATATTGGAATTCGAGAAAAGTGTTAAAATGGTCCCTTGAATTTTTGTCGGGCTCATTTTAATCCCAGAATCTATAAAAGCACCAAATTAGTCAGCAGATTTTCTTAATAGAGGCTAAAATAGCTCCTCTGTAGACTATTTCTACCCATATTTAATGAGTCTACAGATTAACTTGGCAAATTTATAAACTTTGGACTGTTCTGTTGCCATATTTTTTATATTTAGGACCGACTGTTTTTATGAAATTATTTGTAATTTTATCTATGGAGATGAAGGAATTACATTAGTTATATGGTGCTAAGGAAAATAGCACGGAAAATGAAAATTAATGATTCTGAATTTGCTTGAAAGAACAATGCATTATTTAGTTTGATTATGGTACCACATGGAGGAATCATTCTAAGAATAATAATGCTTATTATAAAATTTGATTTGTTCTTATGATGCAGCAGTTATTAGTTATTACCTGCAGGATGCATTCCCTCTATTTTTGCGTTTTTTGTCTGTCATTCTTTTCTCAGCATCCAAATACACCGACAGCAACAATGGTGTAATTACATTACTTTACTCTTGATTATTGAAAAGTTAATATCTTCGTATTTTCATTTTTTTTAACTTCTCACCCAAATATCAAAATTCATAACAAAATCTTAGCTGGAAATATTTTAATTTTCTCAACTCGCATGATTTACTTTGGTCAAATCTCTAGTAATTTAATCATGCCACATATAAATTCATGAGAAATGATATGATTATGAGTTTTATCAATAAATAAAATTTGGATGTTATTTATGTAATTCCTAAAAAAATTAGGGTGATTGCGTATTTAACCCTCAAATCATAACTATTTGCATACAACTCTTATTATATTATTATTATTATTATTTATATTGGATCTCAGATTGTCTTTTGTGAACACACCTCTAGAGTTAGAATCAAGTGAAAGAGAGAATAAAGTGAAGTAAGAGTTCTTGTGGAGAGAACCAGGGGAGTCCTTTATTCGTATTTTTTCCTCTCATTTATGCAGGCTTATTTTGTACAATCATAGAAAAGAGATAACAGTTGTGGAATCCCTTCTTAATATGATTACTGCTCTAATAAATTATGAATTTCACTCCATATCTGTATTACAATTTGAATTTTAATATAACGATATTTCATTGATCGATTCGCTAGAATGCGGTCGACTGAGTAATGACCCTGCCTTGAATTTGATCGACTGAGGTGTTCGGCCGAACGACAATTTCGTCCTTGGTGGCAAAAGCAGGTCGGTCGTCCGCTTTCAAATAGCGGGTTTCTGTTGCGCTTCGGTCAGTCGGTTGGTTGAATGATGAGTCGATTTGTTTTTGTTGGGTGAACCATAGCTCACTTGTCGCTTTGGTTCAAGTCCTATGAGCGTACGTCTCGTATACCTGGTCGGTTTGTCACCTCAGTCAGATACCCCTATCTGCAAGGTTTTAGGTTAATTTTGTCGCTGTCTGTGTGAGCTATTCAATGAGACTTTTTGTTATGATGAATAATGCCTCACCCTTGGCGGATCTTGTCGCTACGATACCCCTATCTGTAAGGTTTTAGGTTAATTTTGTCGCTGTCTGTGTGAGCTATTCAATGAGACTTTTTGTTATGATGAATAATGCCTCACCCTTGGCGGATCTTGTCGCTACCAGGCGAGGGACTATCTTCTGGGCTTTGACTTGTCCTGGGTTCAGAGATGTGGCGTTACCCGCTTGGTGGTTACTTGTTGGTCAACTTTTTTTTATCCTTGGGAGAGGTTTTTTGTTTTTGACCGTTTGTTCTCTTTGAGATTCGTGCCAATAGCTCAGCTATATACATATTAATTTTACTTCTCTTTAGGCGTGAAAGCTGCGATAAGGACAAATAAATTACATCTTAATCATTTCACATAAATCAAGAAAATTTAATGATTAATTTTTTGTTTATTTTCGTGCATGGCGTTTCTTATAAATAAGGCAAAGAGATGGGTTGTTCATCCTTTGTCAACGTTTCCTGGGTTGCTGAGTAGACATTATGTCAGGTGGCGCGAGCAACGAGACGGTCAACCTAAGCCTATTGGCCTTTGGCGAGGTATCCACCTGCTCTGACCTCTATCCCAGGAAAGAAAAAAGTGGTCAGGAAAGAAAAAAAGGCAAGAGACAGTCGGTCCTGATTCAGTCGACCAGATTGGCTTTTTCGAGGGGCCCAAAAAACAGTCTCTAAAGAGGCTCTGAAACTCGCGGGCTCTGGTCCGAGTGAGGTCAGGGTTGTGGTTGTCCCGTCGGCCCCACTCAGGGAAAGGCTGCCAATCGCCGTAGTTCGAGGGTAGAGGTGGCGATTGACCCTTCATTGCTGCCCCCCAGGGAAAAGGGAGGAGGCATCATAGCGGGAGAGGAAGGTCGTCCCTTGACTAGGTTGGAGCTTGAGAGGCTCATGGATATGTGAGGATTTTTTTTTTTGCTTTGCTTGCACAGTAACTTGATCTTCCTTTTAAACGCAGATGTAATGGTGAAGACGGAGGATGTCGAGGACAGCGGGCCACCGAGAGATGTGATCGACTCAGTTCGTATCGTTGCCTCCGAGTCCATTGATGTGATCATCCCCTCTTTCCATTGATCGACGCAGGTAGAAGCTCTCAACAGCATCAGCCGATGTACCAGAGACTCACTCCTTGGTCGGTAGCAAGTATAGGAGATGGCAGAGGCCCTGCACCAAACAACAGAAAGTCCTGCCGACTCATCTGCGCTGGTATGGATGGCTCGTTGCGAATGTCTCGAGGCCGCCTTTCAACAGCAGTCAGTTATCATTGCCCGATTGGAGGGAGAGTTCGCGTTGCTGCTAGGTTTCCTGAACGACGTCTGTGTTGAGATGAGATCCATCCGCGGTTCAGTATTAAGAGTTCTGAGTTGATTCTATAATGAGGCCGGCTGGATGGAGTGGATTAGGCTTGCTGGAGAAATGGTCCTCCGCAGGTTGTTTGAGAAAGGGTATACCTTATCTGAAGCCATAGATGACCCATTTATTAAGAATTTTGTCCGAACCTGTAATGATGATATTTGTAATAAAATAATATTTTGAGGAATTTGATATGATAATTGATGCGACACTTATCTTTATACGATTTTTCAGTTTGCATGACCACTTCATAAAAATAAGGTTAGGGGTCGGCCACAAATGCCCCACAACTTTTGTACTTAATTTCTCATTCTTTGTCTTCCAATCCTTTCGCTTGACTGTAATGGGTCCCAAGTATTCTCCGGTTCTTTTTGGCACTGTTCCGGCAGCTGATCCATCCTTGCTAATAGATAAGGGGTTGAAAGACCTCTAGTTTCCAATCCTTTCGCTTGACTGTAATGGCTCCCAAGTATTCTCCGGTTCTTTTTGGCACTGTTCCGGCAGCTGATCCATCCTTGCTAATAGATAAGGGGTTGAAAGACCTCTAGGATAGTTAGATTCTCGGATTATACTACGCAGGGTGTCGGCCGAGGGGCGACCGACAAAAAATGTTAGCCCTATCTGGTGTTCTACCAGGATCAGTTTAGGTGTGGTCTCTGCTACCCTTATAGCCAGAGCTCAAAAGTGTCTTCACCAAATATGGTGTTATCCTGGCCTAAGTCCTACTAAACTCCATTGCAACCATCTTGACTTTTGCCATATTCTGCGACTGCTTCAGCATCTCTTGGTCGACCGACATTTTCATCCATTACTTCTCCTTCAAGTTCGACAAAGAGTGGTTTGTCATGATTTCGCCCTGTCGAAAGCTTCGCTTGCTTGGTATTTGAACAAGATTAAGGACTGGCGGAAGAAGTTCTTAATCGACTCTACATCAGGCCACTAGGAAATTGCTACCCGTCTGTGAGATGTGGCGGGTAATAAGTAGAAGGCCTTATCGGCCCATTTGCAGCCAGTCCAGGAGGCGCTAAAAGGGAGCCTGATGTTGGTTCCCCAATATACCCTGAAACAAACGGTGGTTGGGTGATGGAAGGGAAAATAACCCCGGGCGGGCTTCAGACGCATGAACGGTTAACCTTTTCAGATCTTGTAAGGCCGGTGGTGCCTTTAGTGGCAAGACCGGTTTGAAGTAGTCATTATTTTGGATGGACTGGACTATTTCGGCTATCAACATCTTGAGGGGTGTCAAATGTTGCATTTCCTTATAAACATGTGATTTCTCATAATATTGAGCCGATCGTTGATCGGAGCGCTGCTTTCGGTCATGCTTGCCTCCGTCGTTCCTCCACTGATCATGGGACCGAGAGATGCTGTTTTTGTGACCGGTAGACTGATTGTTCTTTGCCCCCGC